GGCGTGTACAGGACAACTTTAGTTGCGCAACACTTTTCGTCGTATGTGGGCGCCTGTCACAGTTTGCTGTTTGTCTTTGCCGTGTGTCATTGTGGTGTGTCTTTGTGGTGTTTTTGCTGTGTGTCTTTGTGGTGTTTTTGCTGTGTGTCTTTGTGGTGTGTCTTGGACGTGTGTTTTTGCTGTGTATTTTTGTGGTGTGTCACCCCCAGTGTTGAAACTGATAATGATAAATGATCATTCTCATGTCTGAGCAGTGCCTGCGTGCGAATGTGTGTTCCTAATTTGAAGTACAGTGTTAGGGTAGAGCCATATTAACGGCTGACACCGACAGTCGGACCAGACCCGCCGTTTCCGGAGTTAGGCGGTCAGACACCGCCGTCTGGTAAATATGGCGGGTGGTAGAAGAAGAAAATTGTTGTTGTTGTTTTTGCTTTTGAAACGCAGACAAAAAAGAAAAACCGAGACAAGAAGATTTTCCGCGCATCCCATCCAAAGAAAGCGTGACACGCTAGGTGAATTTCATCATTTATTGGAAGATAGGGAAAAATTCCAACAATACTATCACATGTAACATGGGGCGTCAGGAGGGGAAAGAGCTTCCTGTCTCTAGCAAGTTGGATGGCCTGGCTGGGTGGGATATTGTATGCTCTCAGGGTATCCTTCACACCCTGGATCCAGGTCTTTCTTGGTCTTCCTCTTGCCTTGTACCTTGATACTTTCCTGTAATAGGCTTTGCTGGCAAGCTGTTAGGTGCCATACGTGTGAGATGTCCAAACCACCTGATTGTTTGCCTCTGAATGTAGTGGAGGACAGGTGTTATTCCCACCATTTCTCTGACCTTGTTGTTTCTGACCTTGTCCCGTCTGGTTTTGTTGACGGCTCTCCTTAGACATCTCATCTCGCAGGTGGTTATCTTACGTTCCAGACTTTTGGTCTGGGTCCATGTCTGGCACTGGCAGGTCAAGGGGGGGATGAAGATAGAGTTAATGAGCTTGGCTTTGGTCTCAGTGGGGATGAAGATAGAGTTAATGAGCTTGGCTTTGGTCTCAGTGGGGATGAAGATAGAGTTAATGAGCTTGGCTTTGGTCTCAGTGGGGA